AATGGACTCTCCTGTCGGTTTCGACGTATGAGGATCTGACAACTTAACCAACTGATTCAGGTATAAAATTTTGTGCGATAATCTTAAGTGACACTTAAGACCCGCTAGTGATTTACAAAGGAGGCCGCATATGGAGCAAGAGTGAGGATTGTGGGATGATATCACTGTTAGATTGACTGACCTTTTAGATCTTGCTCTCGCTTCTTGAAGACGATTCAGACAAGTAGATAAAACTGCTGAGTCCACTAAAACACGTTGATCTCCATTCTACCCGCTCCAAGGCTAAACGCTCGTGGGTATATTGACAGCTGACATATATGAACAGAAATATCAATTCCTGCTGTGGAGAAATGGTTTGCAAGTTTCTTGTCTTATTATGGTTATGATTTCTTACCTTATTAAGGTTATGAGTTCGATCCTCACTGAATGTCAGGCTCTGTAAAGTTTAATAAATATGATTCACTGTTTACCCAAAAATACAGTAAGCGTCAAGTAAATAACAACAAATTATGGCTGCTGCTAACCTCCAAAAGAGTAACTCATTGCGTCTTTTTTTGGTCTCACGTTTTTCACTGACATGAAGAGGAATGATTATATTGAATCAATTGTTATGCCTGCTGCTAGGAAAGTTGGTTCTCTGTGTCGTGCAAGAGAATTTTTTTCTCACCATAATCCATCTTGCACGTTTATAAATCTACTCTCTGACTGTGCATTGAATATTGCTGCCATATTTGGTCTGGTGGTCCTGTTATATACCAAAAGAAATCTTGAAAAAATCCAAAGCAGAGCTTTTAATGTTATCAGTCCTGACTTGTAATCTTGACTTCAGTCACTTTCCTACCGCTGAAACATCACTTATCACTGTTTTTTCTATAAATATTTTCATGGCAGTTGTTCTAATGAGCTCATCTCCTTGCTGCCTTGACTGCATGAATTTAATTGTACTACTAGATTGGCAACTAGGTCTCATCGTTTTTCTGTTGAAATAGCTAATAGATATTTCTTTTCTCGCAACTCTCGCCTTTTTCTTGCTTGCATCTACGGTCGGCAAACGTTTAAATGCAGCGTCAATCTCAATCTTCTGTCTTCTTGAACCCTGTTCTTTTATGCTCCTTTCCCGTCACTAACGTCACCTTATTTCCTTTCACTCTCAGTAACATCATGCATCTTAGTGGCATTATCGCCTTGCTTGGAGTGAAATGATTAAAAAATACAAAGTTAATGAATAGGAAAAACTGTTTATCTTCAAAATCAGAAAAATAGAAAAGCGTTACTGAATTAAACTTTTCTCTGCTTCGACGACTTTGGAAACAACTGCATGCCCGGGTCAATGGCGTTCCTTTCTTGTTGACAATCACATCCAACTTTTAACGAGTTCTTGCTATTGTGGGACTACTGGTTTGTCTCTCGATGAAACTACAGACGTAATAGGATTCAAAAAACGATTCGGGAGTGAACATGTTGGGGTTGAGTAGTGACATGAAGATCAAATTTTTTAGACAGCCACTCCTAGGTTCTTTCTTTTCTTTTTATGTGTCATGACCTTTCAGGACGTAGGCGATCATGGTTCTCCACCTCCCTTGCAGCTCTCAGCAAGATCCTCTGCTTCCTCCCCCAGACCACATTCTGTCATCCATCCCCCTGCTCAAGCTCGTCAGGTATGTCACGTGCTGCTTTTCCTTGTCTCTCTTTCCCTCTATTCGACCCGTGAGTATCAGATTCTCCAGGCCCTCCTTCCTCATTATGTGTCCCAGAAATTTCAGCTGCCTATTTATGATGTTAAGTATAAGCCTTCTTCTTTGTTTGTAACCTCTCTAAGACCTCGTCGTTGCTCACACGCTCGGTCTATGATATCCTCAGCATCCTTCTGTAGAACCATAGCTCTGTTGCCTCAAGTCTCTTCTTCACCTTTTAGGAGACCGTCCAACATTCGCTGCCGTAAAGAAGGACAGATGTCACGTAACAGTTCAGTATTCTTTTCTTACCAAAGAAATCATCCTGTCTCGTAATAATGTGCTAAGCTTTTAGAATGTGTCCTTGGCCATCCCAATACGTCTACGGATCTCAGTGTCGCACTTATTGTCCTCTGTCAAGACGCTTCCCAGATATTTAAACTTCTGCGTCTGCTTAATTCTATTATTCCCGTCCTGCAAATCGCATTTCGAGCTTTTCCTCTTACTGATGACCACGCATTCTGTCTTCTTGTAGTTTATGCTTAGTCCTAGATTACGTGGGTTATATGAGATGAAGTACAGTTTTACTGAAATACGTACGGCCATCCCATCGAGCAGGGTTCCTTTCATTTCGATGTAGATTAGATTAGGTTGGTTTGAAATGAAGTAGGTGTGCCGATTCATTAATCTTTCATATTTATTATTAGATTTTATTCACTCGAATAAGCCAACTGTTACTCTCGGCCAATCCTACATTTTCGTGTGAGATGTATCAGAGACTGCCCAAATCCTCTCCGGGGAATGTTTACATAACAGCGCTTCTTATAAATCTTTCCTACGCTTGCAAAATAGGTGTAAGGCCGCATGTTTCTAGTAATCTAAGGTCAACCCTGCACCTGGCTTAATTTATCGTCATTGAAAAATTGTGTCCGGCATGATCCGCAGTGACACTCTTACAGGTTAATCTTATGACATGTCATCATTTGTTGGGTCATTAAAGGTTTGATTTTGCATCAGGCAACCACAGAAGATCAAATATTTCGATGTAGGTGGTAGCATTTAATTATGGAAATAAACAAGGGGACACAAATATTACTTTTGTTTCTTAAGATCACCAGAACCATCACAAATGGCATGAAATTGGTCGGCATCATTGTGGTTTGTCAGAATCATTTCTCATTTTTTTTATGGCCACGTGGTCATTTTCCAGAGGTAATGTGGTTAGAGGCTAGGATCACGGTGTGACTTTTTCATTACCTGCGCCATACTGGAAGTTGACGTGTTAATGATCTTGATTCATCTGAAAGAGAAATGATATTATTAATATTCGGCGCATGCCGCGCAACATTACATTAGGTTGTCTTATATTTATGGCGCACATACGAGTGGGTGCTGAAATGTTAAAAAATTAAAGTCTACATTCTCCCAAATAACCAGAACTTTTAAGCTCAACCTCTTTTATATAAGAGGAGCAGTGATACAGTGAAACAGTCTGTGGATGTCTATATACGCTCCCGGAAATCAGGTTGAGCGCTAGGGAAAGCGGTTTAAAAAAACAGCGACTCCTATTGCTATTAAGCATTACTCTTCTGGCGTATTTTTTATAGAGAAAAACGTTAAAATTCCCGTCCTTTCTGGCCTAAAGGTAAGATATCTGACTGTTAAATCAGTCGGATTTCGATTCCAACTTGAAGCAATCGGACGTCTAGGCACACAAGGGAGCTGTGTTTCAACGAAATGGTGTCTGTGGATGACTATACACACACACACACACACACACACACACACACACACACACACACACACATATATATATATATATATATATATATATATATATATATATATGAACATTGAAGTCAACGCTTAGAGGCGACAGGCTGTTTCATGCTAGACGCAATCGGCGGCCTGACGATTGCGTCTAGCATGAAACAACCTGTCGCCTCTAAGTTTTGACTTCAATGTTCACTTTTATATCTATATTTATATTTACATCCGCTGTATCTCTGATATTGAGCACTTTATCCCGTAAATATAGCACGCCTTAAAACTATATTTCTTCATATATATATATATATATATATATATATATATATATATATATATATATATATATATGTATATTTAAAGACAATAAAAATAAAAGAAATACCAATGTGTTTCGTTCACTTCTTTTGATAAAAGTCCTCAAGGGATGAAACGCGTTGGTATTAAAGGTTTTCCTCTTATCTTTTCTTATATATATATATATATATATATATATATATATATATATATATATATATATATATAAATTAAAAAAAGACCACGTTAAGGTTCCTTTAAAAGGGCTGTGGTGAAATAATTTATTACGTGGAACCATAAAGTGGTCTGTTTTTATTTAAATTATTTGCTCTGAATTTACATTTAGCTCTCTGGATTTTATCCTCCTCAGGTTTACCTATACGGATTACCTAGTTTTTCATAAACTATATATATATATATATATATATATATATATATATATATATATATATATATATATATATATATACATATATATATATATGGGTGATGTATGATTAAACAGAGAGTAAATAGTGAAACGATATTCAAACATTGACATCTTGTGTTCAATTCACAGAAATGCTCTTGGAAATGGCATGGAATTGCTTCTCCTCGCAGTTGTGCAGTTGAACTGCTTTAACCCCTGACCTTCAAGTTAGCAACTTGGTACCGTAAAAATTCAATTTCTACCGAAACTGCAACTGTAATTCTTACTTAATGTGGTTATGCCCTGATGCTTCACACAGTCCAGTAGAAATAAACAATATAAGTGTGCGTCTTTTTTGTTAATGCTTATATTTTCGGGTCAGGGCGTGAAAAATAGGAAAACTGATTTAAATCTTAAAGTTTCCACATTACAGAAATAGAAAGAACACGATCGAGATAACATAGCTTCGTTCTCAACTCGAACTTCAACCAAAAATCTTTTATTACATAACAGACAAGGAAAGTGATGTCTTTACCAAATGAGCCAAGGCAAGCGAATCCGGTGCGTTCAATTTCAGATTATCTTTCACTGCTTTTGTCTTCCATTACCGTTCATCGTCTCCTGGCAACGAAGACATTATTTTTCGCTGATTCCAAAGACATAGGCGAAACATTGGGCTGTAAAAGTACGTCCTAATTTGATTTATTTCACATATCAATGTATAAAAGGCGAGGAGAAGAGACTTTTTGAATAGATTAACATCAAGAGAATAGAAATCGATAGATAGAGAGGAAGCATTCAATAGCGATAGCATATACAAGAAGCCAACAGAAAAGTATTACTGGACTCTTTTTTTATGAAGAGATATTACTTGATACATTGTTGGGAGACATTGAGACAGAAATGAATAGAGAGAGAAAGGCAGTTATGAAAAGACTGAGTTTGAAAGGAGAGAGATAGAGAGAGGGAGAGAGAGAGAGAGATGAACAGATTGAGATCGGTATGAAGAGACTGAGATAGATAGATAGATAGATAGATAGATAGATAGATACGAACAGAGAAGGGTGAACAGATTGAGAACAACGAAGATAGATAGATAGATACGAACAGAGAGGGGTGAGCAGATTGAGAACAACGAAGATAGATAGATAGATAGATAGATAGATAGATAGATAGATAGATAGATACCACGTAGGGTCTGGTGCTACTGCTATGTATCTAAAGATTCTTGACAGAAAAGAATCTGCAATTTCGTCGGTCCTAATATGGTATCTCGACTTCAGTCACTTTGCCACGGGCGCAGATTTATATTTTTATAAGATTCGGCAGCGACACTCTCGAGAATTTTCCGTATAATTAAGTTATTTTCTCTTTTAATAAGTGTGACATTCTTTAGATCAAAGTTCTGATTGAATTTATTTCTATGTTAACTAATGCATTTATTAAAGTGTTGTGTATAATATCCTTTTCTTGTTCATAGATACGTATTTTTAAATGAACTAATATGGATATGATCAGAACCAAAAATACCCCTAACAATAATAATTCTGAAGCAGATACATATAAAATAAATTGCCAGAACTGCTCCACACAATATATTGGGGAAACTTGCAGAAATTTAAATTCTACTCAAATACGAGTATCCACTAAAAATAACGTTTAAAGTAATATACGTAGAGGTAGCGTATATAAGATTGACTGAAGCCCAACAGAAAAATAATACGGGACTTTTTTTAAAGAGATATTACCTGATATATTGTAGGGAGACATTGAGACAGAAATGAATAGAGATAGAAAGAGAGTTATGAAAAGAGTATGGAAAGAGAGAAAGAGGATTAGAAAGAGAAGAACCGATTGAGATCGGTATGAAGAGACTGAGATAGATAGATAGATAGATAGATAGATAGATAGATAGATAGATCAGTCAGTTATGTGTCATGCGTGATACAAGGCAGATTTTTTTCCGCAGTAGGTTGCCATTTCTTTCTTCGGTAGACCAGTTGCCATCCAAGGCTATAGAACCCTGTCTGTCCTGCTATTTTACCCATAACTGGGGGAATAAGAAGAGGATTCATACCATTCCCAAGGTTATAGTTATGTAAATGAATGTAATGGATCTGGAATTCGAGATACAGTCGAATCCATTATATTCACTTCCGTGCAAATATCATTGAGAAAAAGTATGAATCCTCCAGGATGCACACCAGCAGAAACGTAAGAATCGAAACTAGAAATAAGAGGATACTCGTCTTAGTAATTCATAAAATGATAATAATCTCAGAATTTCAGGCAGTTTGAGAAAATGTTTATTGTCTGTTCATTCCAGGTATGGAGTAAAAGAACAAACGAACAGCAGGAAAAAAAAAACATATCTATCTGATTACTGAAAAGGTTTTCATTACTTTGAATACTAGAGCAAAACAATCCCCACTATCTACCCCACCACATTTGGCGTTTTGTTAGCCTCAGCTACGACGAGAAAGAGAATTTCGTTAGTTTAGTAATGGGGAGAGATCGGTGATGTTCATTAAGCCAACAGGTGTTCAAAATATGAAACATTCTTGATTCATAAACAAAACATGTCGGCATAAAATAGATTCAAACAACAAAAGGCAAAATCCATCTCCAGGGGGTCGGGCTCTGTTTTGCCCTAAATACTTTGGTTTTTGAAATAAGTAGGCAAGTTGAGAAATCTAGAAATTACTTTTATGGACAACAACCACAGTAATAGCCAGAGATCGGCAATCTGTAGCTCCCACGTGACATTACACCCTCGTCGGACAATCTGTAGCACACATGGGACATTACACCCGGGTCGGACAATCTGTAGCTCCCATGTGGCATCAGACCCGGGTCGGACAATCTGTAGCTCACACGTGACATTACACCCTCGTCGGACAATCTGTAGCTCACATAGGACATTACACCCGGGTCGGACAATCTGACAATCATTACACCCGGTCGGATAATTTGTAGCTCCCATAGGCATTACACCCGGGTCGGACAATCTGTATCTCACACGTGACATTACACCCTCCCATGTGGCATTACACCCGGTCGGACAATCTGTAGCTCACATGGAACATTACACCCGGGTCGGACAATCTGTAGCTCACACGTGACATTACACCCTCGTCGGACAATCTGCTCACATGGGACATTACACCCGGGTCGGACAATCTGTGGGACCCACGTGACATTACACCCGGTCGGACAATCGGCTCCCACAATTACTGGGTCGGACAATCTGTAGCTCCCCACGTGACATGGAACAATCGGTAGCTCACATGGGACATTACGTCGGACAATCTGTAGCTCCCACGTGACATTACATCCGGGTCGGACAATCGGTAGCTCATGGGACATTACACCCCGGTCGGACAATCGGTAGTTCCCACGTGGGACATTACACCCGGGTCGGACAATCTGTAGCTCCCACGTGACATTACACCCGGGTCGGACAATCTGTAGCTCCCACGTGACATTACACCCGGGTCGGACAATCTGTAGCTCCCACGTGACATTACATCCGGGTCGGACAATCGGTAGCTCACATGGGACATTACACCCGGGTCGGACAATCTGTAGCTCCCACGTGACATTACATCCGGGTCGGACAATCGGTAGCTCACATGGGACATTACACCCGGGTCGGACAATCGGTAGTTCACATGGGACATTACACCCGGGTCGGACAATCTGTAGCTCCCACGTGTCATTACACCCTCGTCGGACAATCTGTAGCTCACATGGGACATTACACCCGGGTCGGACAATCTGTAGTTCCCACGTGACATTACACCCTCGTTGGACAATCTGTAGCTCACATGGGACATTACACCCGGGTCGGACAATCTGTAGCTCACATGTGACATTACACCCGCGTCGGACAATCTGTAGCTCCCATGTGACATTAGACCCGGGTCAGACAATCTGTAACTCCCACGTGAGATTACACCTGGGTCGGACTCCGTATGGAGCATACTGTTATTCTTAAATAATATTTTTTATATAACTTTCTTTTTCATATAAAGTATAAATTGAAAAATAACTTTTGTTTAGGTGTCTAATATACGAACGAAAATTTTAGAACATACAATCAATTAAATATATATATATATATATATATATATATATATATATATATATATATATATATATTAGGATTTTGATTTTTGACTTTTAGCAAAATAATTAATTTCCTGTAGAATAATTCGATTAAATTTTGTTAAAAAAATAATGACGAAGGCTTTAATTCAGTGTATTTATTTTTAAATGTCACCCCAACACGAAATTTCTAAAATCATATATAAGTATAGTAGTACTATGACTTTCTGGAGCTTTCTAGAACATTCTGAGGCCTTCTAGAACATCATGGAACCTTTTGGAACTTTTGGGGGCCTTCTAGAAATTTCTGGAGTCTTCTAGAACGTTCTGGAAATTTATGATGTGCATTTTGTGGGACTATATAAGCGTGAACGCTGGTTGGATTGCCATTTAGATATGGCAAATGGGAAAACTGTGTTGTGTTTGTGATCATTTTTTTTATTTGTTATTGAGTGTATAAGCTTTCTGAATGATCAACACTGATTGATTTACTGAAAGATGTCCAAGTATTCATTTTTAACCATAACATCTCATAAAAAAACGCTGCTACAGCTGAAAGAAAGATCTTGACGAAGAATTTCATACAATTTCAAGAATCACATAAGAAAAGAAGAACTGTTCCTCAAGAAGAACAATCACTAAAAAACAAAAATAGGATACCCCTCCAAATCCAAATTTTTGGTCTCTATCTGTTCTTTGGAGAATCTATCAAAGGAAGGAAGGAAGGAAGGAGTGTATGAAGGAAATCGCTAAAGAAATTAATGGCAAACGAAATTATATTTCCCAAATTTATCAACTCAAGTTATACTAGCAAAACTGGATCAAATGCTGAATACCTACGATGAATATGTGAATTGAGGAAAATGTGATCAACTGATTTATTTTTTGACATCACAAAGAAAAATGTTGTAATTAGGACAAACAGTTATATCATCTTTAGATCGAAAGCAAACGACATGTTGGATATACAACTGGAAAGACTGTGAGTTTCAAAACTATTCATCCATCCAAAAGAAGAAAAGAAAACATTGGAGTGAACTTCATTAACAATAACAACAGCAACAACTTAATCTTCCGAATCAGAGACTGAATCAGAGACTGAACCAGAGACTGAACCAGAGGCTGAATCAGAGATTGAATCAGAGACTGAACCAGAGACTGAATCAGAGACTGAATCAGAGACTGAACCAGAGACTGAACCAGAGGCTGAATCAGAGACTGAATCAGAGACTGAACCAGAGACTGAATCAGAGATTGAATCAGAGACTGAACCAGAGGCTGAATCAGAGACTGAATCAGAGACTGAACCAGAGACTGAATCAGAGACTGAACCAGAGACTGAACCAGAGAATGAACCAGAGACTGATTCAGAGACTGAATCAGAGACTGAACCAGAGACTGAATCAGAGACTGAATCAGAGACTGAACCAGAGACTGAATCAGAGACTGAACCAGAGACTGAATCAGAGACTGAACCAGAGGCTGAATCAGAGACTTAATCAGAGACTGAACCAGAGACTGAACCAGAGACTGAATCAGAGACTGAATCAGAGACTGAACCAGAGACTGAATCAGAGACTGAATCAGAGACTGAACCAGAGACTGAATCAGAGACTGAATCAGAACCAGAGACTGAACCAGAGGCTGAATCAGAGACTGAACCAGAGACTGAACCAGAGACTGAATCAGAGACTGAACCAGAGGTTGAATCAGAGGTTGAATCAGAGACTGAATCAGAGACTGAACCAGAGACTGAACCAGAGACTGAATCAGAGACTGAACCAGAGACTGAACCAGAGGCTGAATCAGAGACTGAATCAGAGACTGAACCAGAGACTGAATCAGAGACTGAATCAGAGACTGAACCAGAGACTGAACCAGAGGCTGAATTAGAGACTGAACCAGAGACTGAACCAGAGACTGAATCAGATACTGAACCAGAGACTGAACCAGAGACTGAACCAGAGGCTGAATCAGAGACTGAATCAGAGACTGAACCAGAGACTGAACCAGAGACTGAATCAGAGGCTGAATCAGAGACTGAATCAGAGACTGAACCAGAGGCTGAATCAGAGACTGAATCAGAGACTGAACCAGAGACTGAACCAGAGACTGAATCAGATACTGAACCAGAGACTGAACCAGTGACTGAATCAGAGACTGAACCATAGATTGAATCAGAGACTGAACCAGAAACTGAACCAGAGACTGAACCAGAGGCTGAACCAGAGGCTGAATCAGAGACTGAACCAGAGACTGAATCAGAGACTGAACCAGAGGCTGAACCAGAGGCTGAATCAGAGATTGAACCAGAGACTGAATCAGAGACTGAACCAGAGACTGAATCAGAGACTGAACCAGAGACTGAACCAGAGACTGAATCAGAGACTGAACCAGAGACTGAATCAGAGACTGAACCAGAGGCTGAATCAGAAACTAAACCAGAGACTGAACCAGAGACTGAACCAGAGGCTGAATCAGAGACTGAACCAGAGGCTGAATCAGAGACTGAACCAGAGGTTGAATCAGAGGTTGAATGAAGAACAATCAGAGACTGAATCAGAGATTGAATCAAAAAGTGAATATGAAGAGCCCGAAAGATTTGAAGAACACTCTCCAAGAAAAAGGAAAAAGTACAGCAAAACTACAACCAAATTAGTAACATCTTCAAACTGATCAACCAGCAAAACAGCAAATGTTTGTCAGCAATTATCTCAAGAAGGACTAAACTTAAAGAAGAAATGAAGAAAGCACTAAACTTATAAAATTGGTCATTGCATTTTGATAGTAAACGAAGTGAGGACCAAGAATATCAAGTGCTTCTTTTGAAGAATCAAAGAAGAGCAGTTAAGTCAGAAGCATTAAATCTACCAAATGGAAAAGCGGATAATGTTGTCAAAGGAATAACAGCTGTTCTAAATGAATATAATTTATGGAAGAGCATAAAGATAATTGTTGTGGACACTATGAATGTGAACACTGGAAGCAGGGATGGGATTGTCACTCAATTACAAAACTATTTGCTCAAAAGAAGCTGGAAGAAACACAATTCATTGACCAAGTGCTTCGCGTAGTAATGGATGACGAATCAAATATTCGTTTATCCGTGTCATTTAACTCCAGTTTTCCGTCTTTTCGAAGAAACTAAATTTCCTTAAGTTAAGTTTCCAAAAATACACAAGTAAGTATATATAAATAATGCAAGATGAAATTCTAATGCAATACCAGCTCTTTTGGCATCAATTCTTCTACCAGAGAAAAGAGATTCGCTACTCTAAATTTGTAGATTCATATCTTACAGATGGGCGGTTGGTAGATTTTGTTTAGTGACGTTTCAACCTCTGTGGGTTACTTAATGCCGAAATCTAAGTTTTGAACACAATTTTATGGCTTCAACTAAATATATTTTGAAAGCAATTGTATGTCTTCAACTAGAGATAAAATCTACTGTTGGTCATTATGCTATAAAATCTATTGTTGGTATTTTTTATATAAAAATGTCATACCCAGCACTAATAGATGGGCGAACTATTGGTTTACTAACCAAGTCTACAATGCAGATGATTATCAGAAGCTATGTTGACTCACAAAAAAGATTGAATTAAATTTTATCGATTTATGACACAGGGTCATAGGGTTACAAAAAATTCATAACACTAAAAGTATATATATATATATATATATATATATATATATATATATATATATATATATATAACACCTATCCTGACCCCACTGGATCGATGTACTCTAAAAGACCGGTCGTTGGTCTTGTCCTGGTCCAGTATTACAGGTTTATTCAAGGCCTCCGTTTCACAATATCGATTCGATTCCACTTTCCAGACACTTTGTGATTTTTTTTTATCCCGAGAGCAATTAACATATATATATATATATATATATATATATATATATATATATATATATATATAAATTAAACAATAAAATGTATTAAAAAATTAAAATCTTTATACACACTGGGTTGTAGATTAATATTCTTTCGTTTTTATTATTATTATTTCATTTAGATTCCTCGAGTAGTTTCGGCCGAAATGGCCATCATCGGGAGAAGAAATATTTCTGCTTGCTGATAGCAATAAACTACTGAAATGAATGTCTTGATGGAGAAAATGAACTTTTGTCTGTAGTTTTCATTCGTTTTTTTTAATTTTTTTATCTTTTTAACATGAATCTTTTAACATTCATTGTGTTGGTCAAACAGTCTCTTTTAAGTTGTTATTTGAGATAAGAGCTGGATGGATTCATCCTGCTCTGAATTCCCCTGGTCAGTTTGACAGTTTATTGGTTCCTGGAGAGGGGATGTGCCTCTGTTAAATGTGTGTGTGTGTGTTATTTGGTTCTTAGGGAGTGAGTGAGTATGATATGTGCAAGCGTGTGTATTGCTGTGGGTGTGTGTTATCATTTGGCTCATTAGGGAGTGAGTGAGTATGATGTGTGTAAGTGTGTATGTTCGTGTGGGTGTGAGGATAAGTGTGAGACCTCAACACCTCCGTAAGCATGTCTGTATTGTGTGGGTGAGAAATGTGGGTAGGTTTTGATTTTTTTTATTAATACTATCTTATCTATTGTTAAATTTATGGTTTATCCCGGCTGGATAGTGTGTTTTTAAACGTTGTATCCTCTTATTTTCATGGAACTCTAAAATCTTTCTAATGTTATCTGCTCTGAACTTAAATATTTGTATCTATAAAAAGAAGGTATAAACAGAAAAAAATGTCATATATATGACATTTTTTCTGTTTATACCTTCTTTTTATAGATACAAATATTTTAGTAAATGCTCTGTTATAAAAAAGCCCGGACGAAATACAATCTTAGCATCTAGGAGGCGGTAGGGTTATCAACACGTCTCGTCCGATTCTGGGTAGGCTGAGGGAACTGAAACATAAAACAGTATTAACAACATTTACCGACCGAGAAACTTTCATAAAAAATATGCGTCCTCCGACAGGAATCGAACCTGTATCCAATACGGAACTGCCATATAGCCCAATCGGCCCAATCGGTTAAGGCACGTCATGCCTTAACCGATTGGGCCACAAAGGAGCGTTCGGCTAGCAAGATCGATTTTACTGTTTTTAAACACAATTCTACATGATTTTCTCTCATTCATTCATATCTGCTCAATGCGTATCCAAATGTAAACAAATGACGACATACATTATGAAATGGACAAAGTCCGACAATTATTTAAGACATTTTTTATGTTTATACCTTCTTTTTATAAAAATGATGACACTGTTACATCATTTTCATCATATAACGAAGCAGACAGGTTTTTCAACATCTAAATAGTCTCCACCCGTCTTTAGAATTTACTATGGAGGTGGAGAATAACAATATGTTACCTTTCCTGGTCGTGCCGGTTTGAGAGAACTCCTTTCCTCACCAGCGTTTATGGGAAGCCCATTTTTACATTTTATTGGGACTCTTTTGCTCCGAAGTCTAGGAAAATTTATCTTACCAAAACACTTACTCGTCGTGCATTGATATGTTTGGAGTGCAAACTTGATGCCGAACTCAGGGAAATTACTAATATTTTTCCCGCCAATGGCTATCCGGAAGATGTCACCAAAACCAACATTAGACTTAACATTTCTAAGTTTAATAAAATTAAATCATTTGATCCACCTAAGTGTCCTGTCTACATGAGATTACCTTGGATTGGCTCGTATAGTCAATCATGCGTTGATAAGATCTCCTCAACTGTTACGCACTGCTTCAATTCTGCATTAGTATAGAACATCTTTGTTATTAGGAAGTGTTTTCCCATCTGTCCGTAAGAATGTCTTGCCCACCAATCAACAAAGTTCTGTTATTTATCGTTTTAAGTGTCGGTGAGAGGCCGACTGTGTGGGTAAGACTCTCCAACGGCTGGAGGTGCGGATTGCACAGCACGTGCCTGGCTTTATAAGTAGACATGCTCCATTAGCCCCCGAGGAGCATTTATTGAGTTCCGTCATTTATGGGTCCAATTATTCAACAGGGTTCTTCTCTGTAGAGCACAAAGCCCGGACGAAATACAATCTTAGCATCTAGGAGGCGGTAGGGTTATCAACACGTCTCGTCCGATTCTGGGTAGGCAGAGGGAGCTGAAACATAAATTGGTACTCTTCGACGAGTCTTTGTCTTGTCCTGGGCAACTTTAATTTTTTTTTCCTTTCCCACCCTCTTGACTCTTTTAATTCTATCGCAACGAGATTCGTTTCCTTTCATTAGGTTTTCTTAATTACGACGATTTTACTTCTGACAGAGCGTCAGACGAAAAGTAACTTAAAATTTTCTAATTTTAATCGAGACGATACTTTTGTATCTGACTTTTTGATTAATAAAATGTTCCCTGTTTTAAGAATAATATTTAGTTGGCATTGGCACTAAAAATCTTTTCACACCCACACACACATATATATATATATATATATATATATATGTGTGTGTGTGTGTGTGTGTGTGTGTGTGTGTGTGTGTGTGTGTGTGTGTGCATGTTTCATTAAAAACGACAGACAAGGTACTACGGTTAAGCTTTTTACTTAATTTTTCTTCTGTTCGCAGAAGAGCTTTCTTTTTTGGACACGGAGTGTGTAGAAACTGTCCAAATGTTCTATAATCCCGAGCGCTTTCGGCTATACTTTTAGCCATTATCATGGCTGATTTTATTTGTTCAGTTTAATTGAGTGTGTGCATTATGTGTATATTTTTAGTGTGTTATAGAGATGTTTTATTTTTCGAACACGGTTAGCACATTGTGGCCTAGTTCGTAGTTAATATTGTTAAGAGTTGTTTTTTTTCCATTTTTATTGTTAGGGCTTCGATTATTTTTAATCTTTTTTTACAAGTGGATGGGGTTATTATGTTTGTGTTTTGTTTCAATTCGAAACATACTAGTAGAAAACATGCATTAATGAAGGATTGCTGCCTAAATACACAATATACACACACACACACACACATATATATATTATAAATTAACTAATTTAAAAATATGGTTCCTTCGCTACACAAGAATTACCATCTTTCAAAAACCGAAGCCAAAACCTTCAAATTTAATTATATAATTAAATTAAAAGCATTAGTTCTGTTTCATCTTCAAACGAATTTTGGAATAAGTTATTTTTAAATTTACTAAGTTTAAAAGCACATACATTCATGATTTTTTGTTTCCAAGGATACAGAGAAATCCAATCATTTCGACAGCGGCGGTAGCGTGTTCATTTTTATTAACTATTGTTGTATCAATTATGAGTTACGTTCGAAAAAGAGGTTACGTCTAGGTAGGGTAGGGTATTTCAACGAATTATGACATCCGTTCAACGCATGTCGTCTAGTTTTTTATCAACGACAAAACGTTTTTCACCATTTTTTTCCGTTAAATTCGTACTTGTATACATAAAGATTCTTTCGAAAAGGGGATTAGGATACGTTATATTGAACTACAATTTTAAAATATTATTTTTACTTTTAATTACTAATAGACTATATTTCTTTTTAAAACAAATAAATGTAACAGAATTATATATATGCTGTTTGTAGTAGGTTTGCATATATTGTCGCTGGACGCAACGAATAACCACCTACTGATAAGATAAGACAATTCATCAAATAAGAAAAACTGAAACTTGATAATTATATTATTTCTTCATAATGTTTCAAAATGAAAGCCAATATATTTTGTCCATTAAGGACAATATATATTAGGTTTCATTTTGTTCCAGTTTTCTGGGCATAACATTGTCCTGTACGACTAGCTTCATTTCCAAAAATCTAGAAGTGTCGAGAGATATTTTAGAAGAATAGTGATTGGTTTATATTTGCCAATCAACATTTTTTTCCTACAAACAATGACTATCTGAGGTTTCTTAAAGTTTATTTTTATGGGTGGTTCGTTTCACGTTTGTAATTTCTGATGATGACGTAATTCTGAAATAATCATTAAATACTAACCTCTTCTCGGGAATTCAGTCAAAAATTCCATAATATACAATTAGATTTGTTTTCTTCCAATGAAATGGATTTTGTTATGTGATGCTCTGTTAAAATAGCCTTTGCGTTGTGATATTTGAGGTGGTCTTTGTATTAATTACACAATACTCTGCGTAAACACAACATTTATTCTCTCTCTATCAATAATTTATGTTTAACACTTCATACCACATTGAAGCATTCATATGAAAACGAACATTCTTGTAAAACCACCATTTCCCATATTAACCACAAAGCGGTTACAATTATCCAATTATTGTTTGTGTATTCACAAACTTTTCTTTTCCGTCATAGATTCACTCTATGTAAGTCGTACACCATGGTTGAATCATAAAAATAAAATGTTAGTGCTGATTAACACCGGAAACTGTAAAAATAATACTTCCTTTACTTCAGAATTAATTTCTGCTAAGATCGTAAACTGAATTGATCTGAATTCTCGTAGCCATTTATCCATCTGCTTGCTTAGGAGGGAAATTGTATTGATCCAATCGTACAAATGAAAAGACTGCCTGCATTCAAAAGTTTGGCTTGTTACCTAGACTTGAATACTACCAATAACTCTGGTAACTGATATACAATTTCGTCAGTCACAAAACATTGAATATTTACTAAAATTAGCTTAGTACAGTATAAATAAGGGAAATGTAATAAGGAAGATTGTGTTGTGTCAATGCTTCAAGTGGAGAAGGCTTACCAATTTAAAGAATCAGCATTCGAAATTGTTACACCGGTAAGAAATACGCAACTATCTCAGCCACTAAACAGAACTCCACCAGCAAATTATTTATAAATATAACAATTAGTTTTATATACATTATTAATTTTAATTTTAATTTTTAATTCGTGGGAACGCCAACGTTATGGCGCAGTCACAGCCACTGTTGAAAGTCCGTCAGTTTGGGTGGGAGATAGACCCCCGCCCCCATATAGGTCCCAATTATTATACGGGCCTCAAAGAACATATTGAAAAGTTCATATCAGGAAATGAACTGAACTAGTGCAGCGGGAACTAGTAGGGGCGGTTATTGGGAATAGCTGGTGGGAGAGGCTTAAGGATAGGATTAGGTCCTTCACCATTGAATATAGCCAGCAGCTCGCGCTAATTAAGCCTAAAAAGGTGCTCAAGAATAGTCTGTCCATGTCGAAGGCTGTGGGATTCCCTCGAGATAGGTTTAGCTAGGCGAGCACTCCCAGGGTCAGATAGTGAGATAGGTTAAACAAGATGTCTAACGAAGCCGTGAACATGGGCGCAAGGAAGAAATCTGTCGAGGTTCCAATCGATACATTCGTGAGGTCAATACCTCGGAGGTCAATACCCCGGAGTGGCGTACTCTAAGGTCGACTGATGGCATGTGCGAGGCGTTTCGGCGGCATTTCGAGAGCCGATTTACCAAGGAGCCTAGTCTCTGTAATGAGGAGTTTCACAGCTATTTGGCTGACTTTCCTCGGCTTTTACCGACTGAAGAAGCTAACTGCGAGGGTAAGATCACGGAGGGCGAAGTCTACTTGGCATTGAAGTGGGTCGTCAGTGGAAAGTCTCTGGGACTTGATGGTTTACCCTATGAATTGTACTTGAGGCTGTCGTATATCTTTGTGCCGATTTTGACTGTCGTCAGAGGTCCATCCCAAACGGATCACCAGAGATGTGATCGTGCTGTTGAAAAAGGACAAGGATGGTGGGCGAGAATTAGATGATTACAGGCCCATAACTCTGCTAAACACAGAGTTAAAGATTTTGGGTCGAGCCAGGGTTTCCGCGTATGCTGATGACGTATCTACTTTCGTGTCGTGTCGCAGCGACATTGAGGTGGTATAGAAGATGCTTGAACAGTATGAAAAGTTCATGGGGGCCAAGATTAACCGCAACAAGTCTTCCGACTTATGGTTAGATATTTGGACGGCCCTTCAGGGGCCCTTTGGCTGGACCGATAAACTCGTCCTCATTCTTGGAGTGTGGTTCGGGTCCGGACTCCGGCTAGAGAAGAAATGGTCAGTAGTCCAGGCATAGGTCGGTCCGGACTTGACTCCAAAGGATGTTGTACTTGAATGGTAGAGTTAAGGCGTGTGCCACTTACGTCTTTTCTCTCATCCATTACCGGTTGGCTGTACTCCCTCTTTGCAAATAGCATAGGAAGGCGATCGAGCGCTTGTTGTCCACCCTTTTGTGGGGTGGGTGGAAGCAGAAGGTCCGTAAAGAAGCCTAGGTCCAGTGTCCGTGTCATGGGAGTGGGGCTAGGACTGCCACACTTGGTGAGTCATCGACATACCTCGAAGTTGGCTTTCCTGGCTTTTGACTGAGGATTCGATTTTGGTCGGAGTAATGAATGGCGTTGCCAGCTTCCAGCAGATTATGGACAAAATTATTAGCGACGAAAAATTGGAAGGCATTTTTGCAAGGCATTGATAATGTAACTTTATGCAGACACAACCATGCAGATCACAATCGTAATCTGATTTATGGCGGCCATTGATAAATATAATCTTACATTAAATAATGATAAATGCTTTTTTGACGTAAACAACCTTAATTTACTGGGGTACACCATGAGCAAATGTTCTATGTCACCAGATCCGAAACGATTGAAACCGCTACTAAAATTGCTAATTCCTAATAATAAGCGTGCCGTAAAACTAAATATGGGCATGTTTGCACATTACTCCCAGTGTGTTGATACTTTTTCAAACAAAATACACTCATTGGTAGAAATGAATAGTTTTCCTCTTTCTTCCGCAGCAATGGAGGTTTTTAAAAATCTTAAAAAGATATAGTCAGCTCAGTGAATTCGGCTATAGACCCGGCTAATCCTTTGGTGATGGGGACTATAGACCTGGCTATTCTTCTGGTGGTGAAGACTATAGACCCGGCTATTCCTCTGGTGATGGAGACTATAGACCCGGCTATTCCTTTGAAGGTGAAGACTATAGAGCCGGCTATTCCTCTGGTGGTGAAGAATATAGACCCGGCTATTCCTCTGGTGATGGAGACTATAGACCCGGCTATTCCTCTGGTGATGGAGACTATAGACCCGGCTATTCCTTTGAAGGTGAAGACTATAGAGCCGGCTATTCCTCTGGTGGTGAAGAATATAGACCCGGCTATTCCTCTGGTGATGGAGACTATAGACCCGGCTATTCCTCTGGTGATGGAGACTATAGACCCGGCTATTCCTTTGAAGGTGAAGACTATAGAGCCGGCTATTCATCTGGTGGTGAAGACTATAGACCCGGCTATTCCTCTGGTGATGGAGACTATAGACCCGGCTATTCCTTTGAAGTTGAAGACTAAAGACCCGGCTATTCCTTTGAAGTTGAAGACTAAAGACCCGGCTATTCCTCTGGTGATGGAGACTATAGACTCGGCTATTCCTTTGAAGGTGAAGACTATAGAGCCAGCTATTCTTCTGGTGGTGGAGACTATAGACCCGGCTATTCATCTGGTGGTGGCGACTATAGACCCGGCTATTCATCTGGTAGTGGAGATTATAGACTCGGCTATTCATCTAGTAATGGAGACAGATGCATCCGATTGTGCAATTGCTGTTTCTTTAAAGCAATATGGACGCCTGGTTGTTTCGTTTTTGTTTTTTTTCTTTTGTTTTTTTTGTTTTTTGTTTTTTTTTCAAGAACCTTGTCGCTTTCGGAACCGCAACACTCAGCAATTGAAAAAGAAGCTTATGCTATACTAGAGTGTCATATGCTCTACTCGACGAATAAATTATAACGCAATCATACGCCGACCAGGAGATATATACATTATCACGTCTATGGAGAGATACGGGCTATTTCTCCCAGACCATGACAAATGGACAATTAGTAAACAAAAATATTTTAAAGAACGCTGTTCGATTGAAATAATCAAACAGTAGTCTTTTCCCAGGTTCGCTTCGGTTTCAACACATATATCGATCCACAATTCAAGGATGAACGATAAGGCGTAATAAATTTTGGTATAAGAATTTTAATATATACATATACACAAAATATTACAATAAAAGAAAAATATAAGCATGAGTAAAGCATCCGACGACCAGAATCTCAAGACTTATGTTGGGATACCAAAATATGCCCAAATCCAAGTGGATTCGACTGAACCCGAACGGATAAAAAAAAATAAGTGTGAATAACTACGAATGCAGAAATCAACGCATAACCAAAAAAAAAAGAGATGGGATAGGATTTATATATTACTATTTTGACATATGGAAAGATGTTTGTAAGAACATAAAATTTATGGATGCATGTTTATCTTTCTAACACGGGTCCAAAATATATAGTTACTTATCTTTATATTCAGTTCTCTCTCTTACTCATTGTCCTCTGTTTTCTCTCTTACATTTCCTCTTTTCTTTCTTTCTTTTCTTTACACAAATTCAATTTCAAACACGGTCCGGCTGCAACAGAGATATATACTTTCTTCTTCTCTCTTGTTTTCTCTTTTCTTTCTTTCTTCTTCTTTACACAGTTCAACTTCAAACACGGTCCGGCTGCAACAGAGATATATACTTTATTCTTCTCACTTGATTTCTCTTTTCTTTCTTCAAACACAGGCTGTATTCTCAGCGTGCAGATTTCCTTGTGTCTTCTGTGATAAATAACTCGATTTATCTTCTTCAATCTGGAGTTGACGAACAGAAATATACATCCTTATATTTCTTATCCGGAGTTGCTTATGATGAATCGGACAAGTTCCATCATTACCAAAATGAGTCTCATCTTTCCGTTCATAAGTTATCAGCGCTTCGATTTTGAGTCTTGCTCCTTCAAAGACAAGACAGCAACTGACTTCCAAGTAATTTTCTAATTCCCACGTGTCCTGCATTTAGGCACGAATTCCAGTTCCTGCTGCTTCACGACCTTACGTCAGTCCCCTGTCTAGATTCTGTCTAGACGTCTGTTGCTACGGGTAACTGGGTCAGTTAACCTCTTGACCTGCTTCCCCAAAATGACTCGAGACTCCCACGTGACCTCTTTTGTTGTCAAGCGGAGATTAACCTTAATATATGCGTGTATGCGTGTTTGGGATATCTGCATTCGTAACATAGAGGCACTCAGAAAATGCAGGCACTATTTAATCGGTCGGCATTTTAGATTAATTACTGATCAAAAATCCGTCCCATTCATGTTTAACACGAGAACAAAAAATGAAATTAAGAAGGACAAAATAGCGAGATGGAAAATTGAATTCACCTGTTTTTCTTTTGATGTGATCTATCGACTTGGTCAAGAGAATGCCGCAGTAGACGCACTATCGATGGTATATAGCTCGATCCCAAACACGGGTGAACTTTGTACCCTACACAGTGAACTGTGCCATCCAAACATAACAATGATGACATGTAGTACGGAGCAGAAATCTACCATATTCCACGGACGACGTAAAAAAAATGATAAAATCATGTAGAATATACGCTGAATAAAAACCGCAGTTCTTCAGACCTAAAACTGGGACGCTCATAAAATAACTATTTGAGAGGTTAAACATAGATTTCAAGGGTCCCCTACCGTCGAAAAATAGGAATCGTTACATGCTAACCTTCATCGACGAATATTCGCGATTCCCATTTGCTTAATAATAATAATTTCTCTTTAGTGCACCAAAATGTTTTTAATTGAGAAGACAACAGCTTTGCAGTTTCAAACTAATTTGCTGCTTTCATAAAAAAAAAATGTCGAAACTTACCCATGTGTATCTGATCCCACTAATATGGTTCAAGCTAGAAGTTTCAACCCAACCAATGTTATTCAGTTCATTACTAAATTTTGAAAAGATATTGACTGCAGCTGTAGATTTCAAATGGTTTATATAGAGAATTGTGATGATTCCTACATAACTGTACAGAAACCTCGAAGCGTTGTGGCAATGAAATGAACCCCAACAAATTGTATTTTTAGCATTCTGCTACCGACGGCAATTTTTCTACAAACTAAACACCAAAATGTATCGCGTCCCTGGTAAGACGATAAACTCCATCCAACAACAAAACCTCTGATCAGGAGGTTTTGAGGAGCGTGGAACTACCTCTTAAATGCTGGTATTCCCAGGTCCACCCTGACCTGGGGTGGTAGCACCTATTAGGGTCTTAGCTATAAGCAATAGTTAACACCTAAACCAGCAATGAATTATTTGAAGGGAAAATTATTACAAGCAATGAATTATTTGAAGGGAAAATTTATTACCAGCAATACATTTTTGAACAAAAATACTATCAGCAATAGAAATCTTGTGGACATTAAATAACCCATTGAGGTGTCGGTATGCCGTAAAACAAAACAAACCAAACCAAAACTTGGAAACCGCATATGTAGAGAATAAATATTGCGCGAAACTCTTTATTAAAAGAATGAAGAATACCATTAATTGAATTGTCTCTCATATATATATATATATATATATATATATTTCTAAAAGGAGAAAAACATTCTGGCATTAAATAACTCCCTGTGGTTGATATGCCATAAAACAAAGCAAGCCAAACCAAAAACCAAAATAGATCACTTGATATTTCATGCTTTCGCCTACGTCCGCACGTTTAAAATTAATTTACCGCTAAAATCTGTCTATGCGTTTCGAGTCTATCACGAGACATACAACATTATAAATACTTTGACACATCTTTATTTTTTCTCTCTTTTCCTCTGGTTTTTCTCAGAACCACAACAATGTAGTTCAGTGAAGAGCCCGCGTCTGTTCCTTATGGGAAGACGTTATGACACACGCACGCGCGCGCACACACACACACACACACACACGTACGTACAAACATTGCACATCTCTTATCTCATCTTATTCACTCCTTCAACTACAAGGACACAGAAACTTCTAACAGTGAGATTTTCTTCATCAACAAACATGCCGTCCGAGAGAATACAACTTTTGACTCTTATCAATTTTTACCAGTGAGAAATTTTACGTCAAATCTTTTGGAGCTAAAAGTTTTTTATCGACATAATCTCAGCTTCCCAGAACACACTCATTCAATTCATATTCTAAACTGATGTCATTTCTCTACAATGAACGGATTTGAGCGGCATGATACTTCAATATATTTATGCTGATTTCAACTCAAAAGTTTAAATCTAAAAACTACATGTTTAGTACCAAATACAACTTTTCGATATTCAAGTGAAGATTACATTTTCTAGAACTCATCTTACACCAAATTTCAGCCTACAACCTCCTTCTTATCCAAGAACATTCTTTCCATTAAAATCCCATTATTTCTTGAACTGAAATCTTTTTTCTGTGAGTTCAGATAAAGAATATATAACTCCTTTGAAAGCCTTAAGCAAAACAAATTAACAGTTAAAGGTAAATAAATCCTGCTATATTATTAATTATAAATGTTACATATTGACACACAAATGAACAAACACTTTTACCTGCCATAAAACAATTTTTGGTGTGATTAACATCAATTTAAAAATTTGCAACTCAATTTAAATTACCTGAGTAAATTCATTCTTCAGTTTTGGATATTGTTGATATAAAAATGTTTTGTTATTTCTAGAAAACATATTATTGTTTTATATTTTGATTTTGACAGCCTTGTGCTATGCAAATAATCTAAATGTTTGTAGAGATTTTAATTTTGTTCACAAACTAAAAATATTCTTCTGATCAAAAATATATTCAAACAAACTAATCACTCCGGAACATATTGGTAACCCCGACGTTCGAAAACAAACCAACGAATTGACAACACTGAGGTTCCTACATCTTAGTATTCTCGACGATTCGGTAATCTTTTAGCAACCCTCATTTCAATTTCAAATATTTTCTTGAATTTCATTGGTTGTTAAATAAAAAATAAGCTTCGAGAAATTTCCATAGCAAAACAGTCAAAATTTGTGCAAAAATAGGCTCAAGTGACATAAAAAAAATATTTCATAAATTCATCCCTAATTTAAATGGATAAAAAAATACAACATTCGCCTACGCATTTCTCACAAAAATTCGCAGCAGCTACCAAGCTCCGTTGGAGCCGATTTCATTATTAAGAAGACTAGAAATAGAAATAGTAAACGAATTTTCGTCGCATTTGAGACTCACACGCGCGAAAGATACACACGGAATTATGTGACGCCAAAGAAACAAACTTCCATCATGAGAGATTAGAAAAATTTATACAACAAACTTTTTCAATCAATATCTTTCATAGAAAAATCTT